TCCTTTCAGCTTTTTCATTGTGTTGTGGCGTATACGGAACCGTAGTCACACCTTAATTTTGATAAATAAAAGCCGAGCATTTTGTCATCTCAAGACAAAAGCTTCATTTTTATTTTTAATAGATAAATTACTGTAAAACTTGAGTACGCGTCAATGAAAGTTATAAAATATTTTTTTACTATCATACGAGACGGCAGAAATCGGACCACATTTATCTGTGTGTACAATTTGAAGCATTCTATTACTTTTTGTTCTTGAGCCAAAAGGCTTTCTGGATATTTTACCTGCAATACAGGATTCACAAAATTAAACCTCACAAATTTTTCTAAACTGAAAAAATTTAAATAGGCAAACCTCTTATGTCATAATTTAAAATTGTTTTTATGTTAGCAACATTTTAACATTGCCTTTCATGTTTTATTTCAAAGGTAATCTCATATAAATTATTTCTTTAACCTAAACCTATTATACCCTTACTACCACTCTGTTTTCAGCTAGAATTATTGTATTCTGAATTTCCAATTATAATAGTTCTCAGTATCCAAAGGTTCAATGAAAAAAGTTTTTCCACTAACTCCAACATGTGCCATTTCGTCTTTTTGACCTCACTTTTTATTTCTTGTCTTTTGGAAGCTCTGGGCACATAACCTTTTAACTTTTGGCTGTTGGATAATCCTTCTGTCTACTATTTTTTTTTATATAAATTAAAACACATACATATTCCTATGATTATTATTTTTTTAACCGGATTAACTTTTTAACATAACATTATCATTCTCTTATCTACGACAAGACAAGTGACAAGACACTCAACAACCGTCAGTATTTAAGTGGGCGGGCCTGCTCAAAGGAATAAGGACGTAGAAGGTGTTTTCTAAATGTTGGAAAACCAGCATCTGGTATAATTAAAAGTATATTATTTTAACATAGATCTATTCTTATACTAAAATTGGCTAGATACTGCATTAGTTATCTGTCAAATTCGGTTTTTTTTTTTTTTTTTTTAATTGGCAGTAGTCAACTTTGACATGGGCTATTTTAAGTTTTTAAATAACCAGAGATGATTGCCCTGTAACATTTTTTTAATCGTAATTTTTTAAAAAATGCTTATATGGATCCAACTTTATGACAAACACTGTATATATAATCAATTTCTTACCAAAAACTAATTGAAAATATTATAGTTTAAAATAATTCTTAAATGACTGAAAAATTTGTGCATAAATAGTGGAGATGGGTACGATAATTGTTTTAACATTAACATAATTATTACAAAAAAAGTATGTAGAAAAGATGTTAACTAAAATTTTATAAATAATCTATTTCTAAGCAGTTTTTCATAATTTAATAATTTAACATCCTGTACAAATACTACCTATCTGCTAAATAAAATATTCCGTTCAAACACTTACTTAACTTGAAATATTCGTATATATTTAATAATTTTCAAAAGTTGAATGTAGATTTAAATGGATGTTTTTTTTAAGTTCTAACAGGAATGAAGTTTAAATAAAACTTTTTATGCTCTAATTTCTGCTATATAACTTTCATACTTTCTATATTTATGCTAATAATATTCTTTTTGCGCGAAACTTTTAATATAAAGTTGAATAGAATTTTTAATATAATATTTTGTGATTCTCCTGTCAATTGTTTACTGGAAGAAAAACTCAGACACTAATAATAGTAAATAATAAACATTTATACAAATAAAAATAGTACACAGATTGGACGACAGGAATGGACATAAATAAAATCGAAATATTCTTTAACATTTTCACCTAACAGCTTGACGTGATGAACCGCACGTTATGCTTAGTGGAAGACGAGTCTGACTGTAAGATAGAAAAGTTAATACAGTAGACTAATTAAAGTTCGAACAAGAATATTGTCGTATATTTCCACGCTTTCTACAATTATCTTAACACCAGCAATATAACTAATTCTACTAGTTACTTGCCATTTCATCTGGATACCGATTTGTTTAATACTACATTTCCTGACAGATTGTCTCTAATTTCTAAGTCGACAGTGTATCGAAATTTAGGCAAGTTTAACGAAACAGGTAGTGTCAAAAATATTCCTGGTAGTGGACGAAAGAGGAAAGCTACAAATGAGGAGAAATCACTTGATGTACTTCTAAATGTTCATGAAGAACCTAAAATTTCCATAGCAAAACTTGCATTAAATAATGATATTAGCCAGAGTTCTGTAAGAAGGATACTGATAAAAAATCATTTTCATCCGTATAAAGTTCAATTACATCAAGAAATAAATGAAGATGACCCTGATGCAGTTTTGCCAAGAAATTATGGATCGAATTAATAGGAATAATATTGTGTTTTCCGACGAATCAACGTTTTGTCTAAACGGATTTGTCAATCGGCATATTTTCCGGTATTGGTCTGATCGGAATCCACACTGGATGATAGAAGGTCACACACAATATCCACAAACGCTAAACATTTGGGCTGGTATAGTTGGAGGAAGAATAATTGGACCTTTTTTTCTGAGACAAACTTTAAATGGTGATCGCTATTTACAACTTCTGCGAGAACAAATAGTTCAAGAATTAATCCGTATATTTCCCAATCGTGCTAATCATTTACAATTGTCAGAGGAAATATGGTTCCAGCAAGATGGCGCCCCACCTCATTTCTATGTTAGGGTTAGGGAATACCGCAACACAATATTTATGCAGAGATGGATAGGCCGAAGAGGATATATTGAGTGGCCGGCAAGGTCACCAGATTTTACTCCACTGGATTTTTTTCTTTGGGGTCACTTAAAATCTGTAGTTTATAAGAATCTACCTCAATCTCTGGAAGAATTGGAAGATCGAATCAGAGCGGCTACTCAAGAAATAACTCAAGAAATAACAGTTTAAGATCATTTGTTGATAGATTAGGATATTGCCAGGCAGCCGAGGGCTTTCAGTTTGAACATCTACTTTAAATAAATGTGTCTTATTAAAGTATAATCTAATTTAATTGTTATTATAAGACCGTAAGTCTGGGACCCACTTAATGTACCATTGATGAATTCAGACAGATCATACGAACTCGAAAAACAATATAAATACAGGGTGATCTATTTAAAATATTGCCCGATGACGTCATATCTTGAAAACGTCAATAAATAGTACATAAAATGTACAAAAACTTTTATCGAAGTCAAATTATCGTACAAATCATAATTAAGCCATAAATCAAGTATTCCGCCCATATAGAATGACCCTGTATAGTATTTCTAGACACAATCCATCACTGCATAATAACCGACCAGCGCTGGCTTCACAAGGGACCGCGCACATGGGCGTACCGTTTTTAATATTAAAATTAAATTATTAATTAGGTATAGTTCTTCCATTATCAATAGCAGAATATAAAAAACTCGTTCCGAACCCTTACCGACATTTTGTTTGATCTGCCATAGGCATAGATACCTCATTTTATAAATTTATTATTTTTATAAATACTTTTAAAAATATATCATATGCTTGAAAGTATTCGTTAAAAGGCAATAGAGTCATTATAAATTGGACTAGTCCTACTTGAATTTGTAGCATTCTTAGCGCTTATAACGTGAATTATTACGCGCCCCCGGTACAAACGCTTGTGTTGGATTGAGTCTAGAAACACTATACATCCACCTACTGGCTGCTCATTTTAACTGACATCATCACAACATCAGAACAAGCAGATTATCGAAAGAAAAGTAATCCACAGCTATCGGCTCAACGATATCGGGAAGCTACTAATCAACAAATTCAGATCTAGACAACTATCAATGAAATCCTCCAAAATTTTCTGATACGACAGTTTCGTCCGTCGGAAATCCTGACATCTCGTTGCAGGGAATATTGGCCCAAGAATTGTATAACTTGCCATGCATAACAGAGAAATAGTCGCGAGTTTAGCAAAACTGAAGGAAATATGAACTTATAGAAGCGACTACGATACTGAATGCGGCTTGTAATGATTACTTGATGAATGGACTGCAAATTGAGTTGCTAAACATTTTTCTTCACTTCACAATCTATAATCTTTTATTATAATAAATTAACTGGATCTGTGTATGTAATAACGTTAACTTTTGTATGATAAGTAGTAGAGGACCACTTCCGAAATTTTAATAATACCATTTTGTGATACTCTGGCCAAGAACGTCTGGAATCTGGATACGTGAAAATGGATAACAACTAAAAGAATTGCTGTTTTTAAGCTTAAATAACAAAAGGCAATATATTCTTAATAATATGTGACTAAGTACCTTCCATAATTAATTAAAGATCTGCAAATGCAGGGCTCATACTTCATCATGATAACGCATACTCTGTCACAGCAAAATTAACAATTGATTTTTTTATGGAAGTATTGGAACGTCCACCGTATTCACCGGATTTGACTAAGTCTAAAAATTGTAAATCTTTTTTATTCTGCCTGAACGAAAGCACTGACATATCCGACATCAACCAACTTGAAATTTTCATTTGAACTATTCAAGGAGATGCTTGATCTTACTCCTCTTCTAAGTACAACTAAGGAAACGAATATTTTTGAAGCTATAAATAAAATGGTATTGTCACTAATGGCACCAGAGCTATAATAGGAACTGAAATTAGATTTGTAGTACTCTTAAAACAAAACAATATCAACTGTCCTGTAATACTGCTATGTGGAAACTTCTTCCGTCAAATGAAAGTCATGAAAGTGGTTGTTAGAATAACTAGTATTAAAGATGAGGCAATCGTGCTTTGATTTACAGAAAGTTTTGTGATTTTTTGGTCGAAATAGATGCTACGTTTTAGTGAATTCATTATTTTCAGCATTCAGTTTTATTCTTTATGACTCACCCTGTGTATAATAACTTATTTAGCGACATTTACTTGTAAATTAACATTCCTCTGTAAAAATTTCCCGACGTGTTCCAACTCCCTTATCCCTTAGTCAACAAAATTCCCTAAACTAAGTAGTCCATGGAGTGATATTTGATTACAGTCTCAGGCTCCGCTCACCACACCCCTCGTTCCCGCTTTAACCCCTTCGTCCGATTGCGACCACCCAAGCAGAAAACCAAAACTACCAAAGATATGCTCGGGGATGATGTTCCGGATCCAAATTGTACAATAACGGTATACGTTGGGACAGCGGGCCAGAATGAGAAAACCACTGTTATCGGATTTGTTTCTGAGTGGATTAACGCCTACACATTCGTCTCACGTAAGTATTTATTTTAGATGCATACAGGGTCTTCAGAGAATAACTGTGCATAGCAATGATTAAATTTTCTTATATATTGTCTAAAGTAATTTATAATAAATTATATTGCCTCCTTTAAAATTAAATCAGCAATAATAATTCTATAAGTCAAGGAATTCAGGTAAGTTTGGTTAGAGGAGACCGCCAGTATAGTTAAAGCCTTGCGATTATATATCGCAGAAATGGCGGTTCCGCAGCTGCTGCCATTGCGGGCATAAATCGCTATGTGAATGTGCGCTCTTATTATACCTTCTTTTAGTCCGATCAATTTAGACATCCGAGGGTACAAAAATTCCCACCCAGCTGAAAATTGGTAGGATTGTTCAAAACATAAATAAAACCTAAAAAGTCCTTATCAATCCGGCACCTGGAAAAAAATTTACTCGGATCAAAGGTCACAAAAACAGATTTTTCGCGATTTTCAGCAAAACGGTAAGTTTTATCACAAAATTAGTCCAGACAAAAACTGTAGAGCAGATAATTATCTATAAAAAATGTCTATTTTTTTTCCTAAGAGCCACTGTTTCCGAAATATAACGATTCAAAAAGTTAGAAGAGTTGTAATCGTCGTAATATGCACACGCAACCTTTAAGGTAGTGTACGTAGCGCGTTTTTTTTAACGTGGTTTCCCCGGTAGGCCTATTCTACGGATCTGTTGTGGCTCTTTTTAATTTGAAACTATTGAATAATAAAAGATATTGACAAGGGTTGAAAATGATAAAAGCAGTGTAAATAAAAAAATAGGGAAATGTATTCGTCGGAATCATAATTCTCAAATATTTCTGCTTCCTCTTCTACTTGTTCTTCTTCTATTGCATTTAGAGGTTGATCAAAAGTCACAATGCATACAGTGTGGCCATACAGTTTTGCATTCTCTAATGCACAAAGTAAAGTCGTGTAAATAGTATTATAGTTACTTACTGGTTGATGAATAAAGGGTAAAAATTAAATTTGAGATTTAGAATAATTCATATGATTGTTTGTTAAACGTTCAGTAAAGCCATTCCAACTGGGTAACGACGTATTTTTCCATTTCCCATAAAACCGTACTACATCAGCTTTTTTGAGGAAAGATACTGTTTCAGTCCCATAAGCAAAATCTCGAACATTTATTTTACTGTAACCTACAACACCGTCATTTTGATAGATCTGTATTGGCACATGAGCTTTTGCCTTGAAATCTTTTGCTGAAAGGGCTTCTTTTATTCGTAGCATAGGTTCTTCTAGTAAAACGGAATCTTATGGAGTAACAATTTGAATAATACCAATTATGTGGAGCGTGTTATTACCGTCTAGTGTAGGTATTTACATTAATATCAGCATTGTCTGCAACGTATTGAATAAGTGTGCCACTTTGTGGTGGTAGGACGATGAAAAACTGATGCTGCCTCGTACATTATTGTATCATTATAAGATGCACACAAACCGAAAGATGAAAAAATTTGCTTAAGACGTTTAGACCCAAACCGTCGATGAAAAAAACTGACCTGACCTTAATGTAATTTAGACTTAAAAGACCTCGGTCGAACAGCAGTCTATGGCTAATATTTGTGCATATTAATTTTAAATGATCTAAATTTGATCTTTTATTTTTTTAAATCACTTGCTCCAAAAAATGTGTCGGCGACTCTGGGATTTCGTTGTTTAAATTTTCAAATATGCGACCTAATGGAGGGCAGTTAGAATTATCTAACACTGTGGATTGAATATCTTCGCGGAGTCGTTTTTTTTTATTCAATTTTTTCTTTTCATACCAAGCTTGATTCAAAATATCATAATGATTGTCTACTAAGCATATGAATGTTGATGTTCCCGATTTTTCAGTGATAATAATTTTATAACCATACTTTAGCTTTAATCGTACCTTTAGCATCCGGTTATCTATAGTTGTAGTTATGCAAACATTTCTTAATTCGTTCAAAGTGAACTGATGGTCCTCGCTATTTTCGATTTAGGTGAATATTTTCTCCATTGACAGATTCGTAGTTTCATCTTGAGGACGACCGACTTTAACCCCAGTGGGCGGTTTCAAGAAGTAATTAAAGCAATCATGATGATACTTAGCTTCAGCAGCAACTAATTCGTTTTCGAATTCGAGTCGAGCAAGAACGGCTTTTGCCATAGCATCAGAACGAGTCCGAGCTGTTTCCAGAATCGAATCTTACTGGTTTAATTTTACGGCGAGAATCCAAGGATTTTCTATTTCATGCTCTTCATTCAATTCCTGACTGCAAAATAAGCATTGTTTTTTAAAACAAAAAGCTGATTCACTTACACGTGCTCTAGTTCGAGGAGGACCTACAATAGATGTACTGGCTTCTTGTTCTTCATGTTGTCTTTTAATAGCTGCAATAGAACACTTTCGAGTATAATTTTTACGACACTCCACATGTATGGTCACAGATTTCTGCTCTTTAAGATATTCTGTAAATTCATCAGCTCTTTCAGTACTTGCATTGATTAATGTCTTCATACCACGTTCTACAGAAACAGCTTCACCTTCAATTAAAAGTTTAGAACAAATAAAACAATACTCTTACAATTTTTGTTATAAAATTTAAAACAGCACAAAAGAGGTTAAAACATATAGGTTAGAATAAACAAGTGTTTTCACTCTGGGGTAGCGCTCAAGACTAATAGTAATAGTAATGCATGTATTGGGTATTCTATCATAAAGCAGGTATACGACGCTTGCCATGCAGACAATTGAATAGGAAACAGATTTTGCTCATGGTTACACTGGCGTATAAAATGAGGGACTGGGTTTTTTTTTACCTGAAATTCTCATATTTATAATATTTTATATATGTATAAGTTACACTGACCGATAGAATAATATTTTTACTTGTATTACAGCTTTAGTGATGTATATACGTGGTTTACTTATACATATTACGACGATTATAACTTTTCTAACTTTTTGAATCGTTATATCTCAGAAACGGTGGCTCTTAGGAAAAAAAATCTTAGACATTTTTTATAGTTTTTGTCAGGACTAATTTTGTGATAAAACTTACCGTTTTGCTGAAAATCGTGAGTAACCTGTTTTTGTGACCTTTGACCCCGAGTAAATTTTTTTTCAGGTGCCGGATTGATGAGGACTTTTAAGGTTTCATTTATAATGGTGTTTTGAACAATTCTACCAATTTTCAGCTGGGTGGGACTTTTTGTACCCTCACTCCTATGTTTTGGTCAAATTTGACCGGACTATTAGTCCTTTGCTTTCATACTGTTTACTGTTTGGAATCAACTTGATTTTTCTCTCCAATTTTTTTTTGTCGATCGTTAACCTATTAATATGTTCCCATTGCATCCCTTTGTCTACACTTCTCGAATTGGGCTCGACCAGGTTCTCTACGTTCTTCCCCCTTCATTAGTTTCTTTTAATTTTATCAATTTGCCAGAATCTACATATTTCATAATTGTGCCAGACTTTTTCACGTTAATATATTCTATAATATCCTATCTAGTGAATATTATAGATCAGTACCTCTTTCCTAAATTATTTGGTTCACTTATTGTTTGTTCTTACTATAATCGTATTATTTCTGTATATATATTTTGTCGATTTTTCTTTTATGTAATATTCTCCATATATCTTCTTTTTAAACTTAATCAAATGCCTTTTGTAAGTCTATTAAAACATGTGTGCAACACCTAAGAACTTTATTAGCTTCGGCGCTTTTGATTACAATGGTCAAGTAGTTTTCGATGACTACTCAACAAAACATTGAACCCATCTATTAGTAATGAACGGTTATAAAATTAGATCTCCCTCTATTATTAAGCTATACACAGTTACTCAGTGAGCACTTTCAAATATATATATGGTGTATCAAGAAGATGTACAGTAAATTTAACCACAGTTTCTGGGTTCGAAAATAAGTTGATTATATAAAAAAATTGTTAGTAAAAAGATCAAAAGTGTTACTCTAAAACGAATTAACCTATTTTTATGAAATTGTACTTGGACTGTTAGTATACGGCGACCATTAAAATAGAGTTAGTGGCATTTAAAATTGTTTTAATTCTATTAGTTTTTGGAAGGGTCCGTAAACTTTTAACCCCCTACTTAGACAATGAAATTCACTTTTTTGTGAAAGACTTACCTAATTGCTCCCAGAAGGAAGGTCATAGTGAAAAATACAATGAAATTTTTGTTCACAATGTTTTTACTGTTTTTCAACTTTTTGGATGATTGATAATACTTATAAAGACATAATTGTAAATATGTCTAGTTATTAGAGTTACCTCGTCATTTAAAAAATTTCATTTTGGGTATTTTTAACTATAACCTTTCTTCAGGGGCCTATCACTCAATAATTAAATCTTTCAGGCACAAATACTAAAGCTACCATTTGGGAAGGCGCGACCCGAGATCGACTTCAAGCGTAAGACGACAGCGAGGAAGACCGAAACGATCTCTTCACGTCTGAAAACATTTAAGAAGGCACGACAGACGACAGTAGTTTTAGCACGGTAGGATTTGCTGCTTGTTACCTGTCGTCTGTCGTCTACCTTGTCGCGCTGTTTCCAAGTAGTACCTTAAGAGCAAGAAAAGTACAAAACAGAAATAGGATTTCAGTGGCGTCCTGTTTTTAACCAAATTTCATTGCCTAAAAAAGTAGTTATCAAAGGAGTGCGGAACCCATCTAAAAACCTGTAGAATTAAAACAATTTTAAACGCCATGATGACCATTTTATTGGTCACTTTATACTAACATCCTATATAAATATTCATAAAAATAAGTTAAGTTGTTTTAGAGTTAGAGCAAAAAATAACTTCCCAAATTTCAACTTTAACTCCCTGTAACTTATTTACTATCCATTTTGTATGTATGTAAAACTGGTTAAATTTACTGTACATCTTTTTGTTACACCCTTTATAATGAGGCTTTTAAAATACTGATATATTATCTACCAAAACTATATCTTTAATAATTTATATAACTTATTTTAAATTTCAAAGCTTGTCAT